TTTAGTAAATAAGGTTTTTTTAAAATAAAGAATAAATTTTTGTTAAATTTGATATTTTAAGAAGTTAAATACTTTAGTTTCATTTAGTATTTGGGTAAATTGTCAGTTTTATGTTGGAAAAAATTGTTTAAACTATTATTTTAAATGATCTAAAGAGTTTGCAAAAGATGAAATATTTGGTTTTTGGTAAAAATATATTTTTGAAATATTAAAATCAAGACAAATATTAAATTTGCTATTAGATTTAATTATAACATATTTTTTTTTCTTTATCAAAATTAAATATATAATATTAAATCTTTTAGATTAGAGTTAAAAATTTTTAACAAATTTGATGTAATCAATTGCTTAGTAGTTGTTTAAAAGATATAAATGGATACAAGCTAGATTGATGCAAAGTTAAAAGTAATTTAGTTAATATTTAAAGAAGTAATAGTGAAGAAACAAAAAATTTAGAATAGTTGAATTTTGTAAAAAAAATATTATGAATGATAAGATAAGTTTTTTAAAAATTTCTTCAGGTATATTAAAGAGAATAGTAATTGGTTTGTCTAAATTAGAATTAGTTTATTAGATGAATTCAATAACAAATTCAGGTCTATTTCTAGCTAGTTTGTAAATAATATAGTAAAAGCTAGCTTTAAGGCTTTTTGTTTAGGAATTTTAGGTTTGATTTCTTTATTAAAATAAAATTATATAGGTAGGATTTAAGAAATTTAAAAATTTTTTTTAAAAATTCTTTTTGAAATTATGATTTATTCTTCATATTATTAGAAACTAGAAAGTTAATAAGCAAGCTAAATATTAGGTTGAATTTAATTTTTTGTTAATTGTTAATAGTATTAGTTTGTGTTGGCTATTATTGTTGTTTACTTGTTTATTGCTATTGTTGTTGTTGTTTATTAGAGTAAGATAGGTTTTAAAATAACAGTTGTTGTTGTTAATATTGTTATTAGTTGTTATTATTATTAATGATATTATTGTCAAAATATATATTATTTATAATATTATTGCTATTGTTAGATGAGATTGTAAAGATAAATTCAGATACTAGTAGGTTATAAGAGTTAATTGTTTGTTTAAGTTTTTGAATAAATATAGAAAAGAAACTTAATTGTTTAGTAGATTGTTGTATATTGGTACAGGCTTTATAGTAAGGTTTACCATTATATAAGATAGTATCTGTTGCTAGATAATGTAACAGAGTAGCATGGCATATAGTGCACTTATTCAGAATAAAGAGTTGGATACATTAAATAAATAAATAAATAAAAAATTTAAAGAATAAATAAGTAACAGAAAAGACTTTAAAGTAAACAATATATTATGTACTCATGTGATTAGTGATACAGAACAGACTGTAGGATCGAGATATAAGAAAATAAATTAGTAATAAATTAGTGACATAAGGTTAAACAAATTTATAATGCATAAATTAGATAAATCAATAAGTATATACAAATTAGATAAAATAGCAGATGTATGAAAAATAATATAATAAATTAGGAACAGTAATGTAATTGATAAGTTAATTAAAAGTCAAATATGTATGTTCAGAGTGAAATGCATGTAAATAATTGAAATATGATGTAATAAAAAAGTATAAATATAAGGATAAAAATAAAATAAAAGAAAGTAAGTACTTTTATCTTAAATAAGGTACCTTAAATATTGTATACTGGATACTTACTCAATACAGCCATAGTGAACTTTGATTTGTATGAAGCATCACCTTTGATAGATATTAGTAGTCATAACTACTATTAATCCTGTTGACAATAGTGTTAGTTGTTCATTTCTTTACAAACAATAGGTAAATTATATTTAGTACAGAGATGGTTATGTATAATAGGTAAAGGTAATGCTATAGGTGATTATAAAACAAACTTAGTAGAATTTGCAATAGTATTTGCTAGAGTTTTTTTATTTTTAAGTTTTTTAATAATATTTGTAGTTTTATATTGTTTATAGGTTTGATTAGTTGTGAGGTAAAGTATATATAATATTTGTTATAAAATAATATAATAACAGAACTAAATTTGGGTGCTTTAAAGTAATAACTACTTTTAGTACTTTTTTTAAGTTCAGTAATATTATAATTATTAGATTGTTTGCTTACAAAAATAAAACATGATAAGGTTGCTGCATCTTTATAGATACCAATTCTAAAGTTTTTAGAATACTTTTAATAAAAGTAATCAAGATTGATAATATTAGATGCAGTTGTTATAAAGGTTGGCATTTTGTTCTAAAATTAGATTATTATATATGTTTTTTAAAAAAATTTGTTTCATTTAAGGTTTTTGACTAATTAGAAAAGTTTGAAAAAGAGTTTAGATTTCAGATAAGCTGATTAGATGTTTAGAAAATTCTAATAAGTATTAAGAAAATAAAATTTTTAGGGCAATTCAGCAAGTTTTCTAAAATTGACAATGAAAAAACTTATAAAAAGCAAATTTGTTTTTAATTTTTGCTTGTTTCTTTATGAGTTTTAGTTTGTTTTTAATAAATTATATATTAAAAATGTCTATTTTAGTGAGCTGAACAACTTTTGAATAAGTAAAAACTTAGTTTTTAGAACTTTTCTTAACAACTAAGGATTATTAAAACATAAAACTCAATTTCTAAGAGAAAAAAAGTATGTTGAACAATTTTATTTAAGAGGTCAAGTAAACTTTATTTAATAGAAAGTTGAGAAATGATCAAATATTTTTTGTGTAATTTTGGTATAAATAATTTATGAAAAGAGTTGCTTATTTTAACCTTTATATATTATATATATATATTTAATTAATACTATATATATTATATATTATATATATAGATATGATCATTAAGCTGACCTATATATCTATAATACAATTATATGATCAATAGCATGTCTTTAATCTGATAATTTATTATATAATATATTGTATATTAAATATTTTACAATATATTAATGAAATCTAACTTGAACTATTTGTTAACTACTATATTTATTTTAATTTCTGATTTCTAGTATAACTGCATTATACAACTACTTTATTAAATAATTCTAAATATTATTATTAATACACATGTTATATTTATTTTTAAAAAGAATGACTACTTATAAAAAAATTTTTTTAGTACATAAGCTAAAAATACTAATAACAACGAGAATAAATTCTTATCATATACATATAATACAATATAATTGTTGTGTTTTATACTAATATTTAACTCAAATATTGATTTTTTTGGTTAGTATTAACTGATCAATATGATTAGCCTAATTATATCCAAACTTTTACCCTAACCCTAATCTAATTTAAACTGATCAATATTTGAAGCAAGTATTAGTTTAAAACATAACATATACATATATATATAAAATGGTATACAAATAAATTCTAATTAAAATTTGCTAAATATGTTAATGCAGACCAAATATTATATTGTGATTCAGAAATCAGTAAGTCTGTCACTAAACTAATTCAACTTTCGCATAACCTATAACAGTTTAGTTGAAATAGGCATGTTAGATTTGGCTGATGGTTTTATCTATAGGTAAATACTGGTCTCTACTTTGCGTCTTTCCTTCAACCTATTTTTGTATTAATCTTGTTTTCTCTTGTATGCCTCAACCTAATGTCGAATCTGGGTTGGAACTCTTTTATGACATTATGACATTTCTTGACCACATAACTTATAGCAAGTGATCAATGACGAGTTTAGTGATGTATGGGCAAACAATTGTGTTAGCGATGGGTTAATGATAGTTTATTGGTTTGTACAGAGTAATACTTTCACTTTTATTAGGAATCGGGTATTAGGGGATTTTTTGGTATCAGGAACTATTCTCTTCCCTAGGCAGAAATGCTCTTTATTTATAATAAACGTCTTATTTACATTTATAATCAATTTTTGCTATAAATGCAATATATCCCTTATACTCTATATCTTAACTAAATGTAATAAAAGGCCAATATGTCATTTAACGAATATGTGGCCGAAGTAGCAGAAGCGACATAAGAACCATAAGTAACATTTCCGTTACTTTTCGCGTGACCTTGGATCGGGTAAGGATCGTCACTTCGATTCGGGCACCCGTGATCCCGAAAATCGGGCTCACAATATTAATGCAAGACAGATGTTATGGTAATGCCGGCCAGAAAATCTTATTTTGGGATCATATTAAAAATCTTGTGCGGGCTCTAAAAAAATCCTGCGGGATCCCATCTTTATTAATATTATAATCAATAATTACTACTTATAATGATTCTTTTATGATTAATAATAAATTCAATTATCTGGCACCTTACTATGATCGTACCAATAGAATTACTCGAGTTCTTTTGATGATGACGCAATCATTACCAAAAGAACTCGAGTAATTCTGTTGGTACGATCATAGTAAGATACCGGATAATACAGTTATTGAATGCTACTCAGCCAATAACTCGTTTATCTGGCTGTGAATTTAATGTGCGTCATTTCAGGGCCCCTTCGGGGCCCAAAAGCTACATATTAAACTTAACAGCCAGATAATAAATTATTTTCCATCATTGACTGATAACTATACATTATTTGACCGAATAATTATTTTTGAATTTAAATTATAGACAATCATAAATGCAAAAATTTGATATATGATTGACTAAACATCAATTTAATACACACAAAAAATTACTATATACTAATAATATAAAAGTATATATTTTCATTTTAGTAAAGTGCTACATTTATTTCTTTTGTAAATAATAATTAAGCGAGTAACTAAGATCAGAGTAACTCAATTTTTCACTTTTAATATACATGTTTATAATTAAGATATGTAAAATTTCTTAATAATTATTACATTATAATTAGTATATTAACACCATCAATTCCTTATAGGCTACTTATCATGATACACAGCAACAACTATTTTACCAAAAACTCTATCAGATCATATTCACAAGTACAAGAATTACTAAATAATTTTTTGCAACAATCGAAATTTTTAGTACTCAAACCACATACTTTATGAGGGCACGTCATAAAGTAGTAACGCATTCAGTGCTATATTCAGTGCAAGAAATATAAGCGGTATTTCCACTAACAATCGGAGTACTAGGGCAAGTAACGACAGGAGGAGGAGTTGTTTCGCATTCAACTAGAGTAAATTCGGTAGTTGTTACAGTTTTCGTAGGCATGGAAGTTGTAGTGGGAATGGGAACGATAGTGCATGGTTCATGTGGTTTAGGTGGTTTATGTGGTTTTGGTGGTCTATGAAAACCATCAACAACAATGGATGATGTCAAGAGGCAAGAAAAAAGAATGATTAAAAATAAATTTAGAGTCAGTTTAATCATTGTTATTAAATTGTAAGAATTGTAAAATCGCATTTTAAACTTTTAAAAGTTTGACAGTTTATATAACTTTAGGTCGAATTTTGTATCACAATATTATACAGCCATCCTCCTCTAAAGTCACCTCCAATATAATCACACCCTCCTTATAAGCACCATTTTTTGAAAAACTGTTGGCAATATATTCGTTGAAAAAACTTTATATAATCACATCTTTTTTGTGTAAAACAAACGGCATGATTATAGAAGTACTGTAATATCATTTAAGATTGAAATGAATGCTTTCTCTTTAATCAATATAATTCAGTTGACCTCTTCAATCACTCAGTTTGTTTTATGCAAAAAATATGCGATTATAAAAATTTTACTATGATATCCTTATATAAAAATATTTTTTATAAGTTTATTAATGAATTTTTCAAAATTTAAAGTGATTATTTAGGATTTGTTATTACTGTATTATGTAGGAGTGATTGTAGAAGAGTACGATTGAGTAATGCAAATAATAATGCAAATAATACATTAATTATTATAATAATGCAAATAGCAATATAAGTAATACATTTAGCGCTGTTATGTCATTTGAGATTGAAATGTATGTTTTTAATTATAGGCCCAAACGTAATTCTGACATATCCGTGTGGAAATAGCAATCTCTAATAGGGGATAATGCAACTAATAACGATAATGCAAATAAAACATTTATTAATTTATTGCCACCTTGTATCACCAAGATCAGTTACCGTTACATTATTGTGATTGCGATTGTGACGAAAATACGCTTCTACTGCATCAAAAAGACCTTTGAGGTCTTATTTTCAAAAGATAGCTTGATGCTCTTAATTGTAATAGAAATATTTACTGCACCATAATTAAAATCGACTGTGGCACAATAAAATAATTATTTAAGAGCGTCAAGCGATCTTTTGAGAATAAGCCCGATAAACTTTAAAATAATTAATCAGAACTCAATCTCAAATGACTTTCTGATGTGATAGAAACTTATTTCCATCACAATTTCAATGGAATTCAGAATTTTGCTAATCGCAATAAACAAATCCTAAATTTATTTGCCGACATTAAAATTAATGATTAATACAATAATGACATTTGATTAATAAGATTAAGGATAATAACAATTTATGTTGAAATTTTATTTATTTTTCTTCGAATATCGTAAAATAGAACACACATCTTACAAAACTTTGTTAATCTCGCCGAAGTATGCAACAAATATTGTGCTTCAATTAATAAATAAACATGCTTTGAGTACATATGCTGTGTAAATGAAAGTAAAAAACGGAAATGCGAGGATCGAATTTTAAATGATATTCGTAAGCAAAAAGAAAATGCCATAATATCCGAAGAAGCTTGAATACGCATATAGTTTATAAAAAAAAACTCAGATTTTGAAAGAGAAAGGCTAATTAAAATTGACGAAAATGAAATTTATATATAGGAAGTGATTATTTATTTTATCGCCTCTAACTTTAATTTCACGAACTTGGTTTATTTTTTTACGTTGAATTTCCTTTTTTGGGTTTGTATCACTCACACAAATAAGTATTTCCGCAATACATATCATTCTTTTCTATTTCTTAATTCCGTTTTATAAGTTTTTATAAGAAATATTCAAATTTGTATAACTTATGAGGCATTTGAAAAACTTTATTAAAAAAATTGGATCTCCTTTAAGTCTTATTAGAAGTCGATAGGGTTATTTAAACCTTTAATTTACGCACTTTTATGTTAGATAAAAAATAAATAAAAAATTAATTTATAAAATCGCAAAAAAAAATAAATAATAACCAAATACAATCAAATCGTTTTTAATATAATATTCAACTTTGACTTTGTAATAATAAGCCTTTCAAATTACTAAATACAATAGTCTTTTATCATGATTTAGATCAGCTCTAGGAGGCATAGTCGGACCGAAATCAGTGGCTTAATGTCATAAGAACACTGTGGCATTGATGTTATCTTTACTTGCATATGTACATACCTACTTTAAAATGCGAATTTGAATTCAAAATTTAACAAACTTTAAATTTTAATGCTTGTTGACGGGGTCAACAGATCGAAAAGACAGGGAGCATTTGGCAAGGGTCCCACATCACGTGTCGCAACCCCTACTCCGCCGACAACCGATACGAGACGCAATCAGCGCCAGATCACTAGAACATGCTACGTAACCCCAAGCCACCGAAAAGCTTATATAAAGATCGAGAGAAAAAGAGCCTATTTACGCACTCTTCCCTCATCGAACATCCAATACATATAGTTAGCATTTCTCGACCCATCCCTTCTCGCCACATTGTAGTCTCCTGATTCTGCCATTTTCCTATTTAACAGCCGGCCTGCTTCGAGCAGGCGGGAAACCACCGGCTGATGCTGCTTCTCGCTCGCTCTACTGTTACGATGATACCTGGCGCAATCTCATTTGCTAATCTTCCGGGAGCATATCATCGTTTCAGTTCAAATTACTTAAAATCACTATTTACTTAAAATTACCAATTCAATGTATTCTGCGGACTTAAAGTCCTTTAATTGAATTTATTTCCGGCACCTTTGGCTGTCCGGAATTCTTCCAATCACATGACCAAAGCGCACCTATGCTTTTCGATACTTGATAAAGAATTATGGCTTAGAGATTAGTTCTTTTTTTCGTGTTCTTGAAATTTTTTTTTGAAAAAACCACTGATAAATTTGTAAAGCTTAATTCTATGCATAAAATCATTGGTATATCTTTAAGAACAAAATTTCTATTTATGACGAGAAATTGAACCATTTCCGTTGATTATGGATTTCTGCAAAACATACGTCATATGTAATTTCTAATTCTAATAACTCGTGAATTAATAAAGATATTCCAATTAAATTAAGCTAATTTTAATTTTTTAATGTGTTTTTTAATGTAATGGAGTCGGTTTGTCGTTTTTTTTTTAGTAACAATTGGATTTTTATTGTGTAAATTTCGCATCCATGAGTTTAAAATTTATATGTTTACATGATGACAGCCAATAGGTTTAAAGTGATCAACAGATTACATTTTGAATATCTTTATTACTAATGATCTTATTATGCACTCCGTTATGCAAATATAACTACATTCCTCATAAGGGTAACACTAAATCTCACTCCGCTTTAGCCAACAACCATAAATAGCAAAAGCAATCCGAGAAAATCATTCTATCTATATGCTAATCTCAACCTCAAACCTAATAACGCAAGTAATAATATTAAATTTTGGATTATCATTCGAATTTTACTAGTAATTGAAAATCGATAACATATAATACCGCTAAGTTTATTTGAAGGTCTGATAATATCGTGTAGTTACTTTACACTATGAGTAAAACATAAATTTTTATTATAGATGAATATTTTACGGTACTTATTTTTTATCCCAGTATTTACATGGGAACCCAATTTCTTACTTCATTTTGATTGGTAATTGGACAAAAACTGGGTGCTGCCAAGTGAAAACCTGACATTCTAAAAATAGATTTCTACGGACAACTGAATACGGACTTTAAATGAGACTACTATGTGATCAAAAAAAAGTATAATCCATTATTCTAGTCAGATTAGTTCAAACCCCGCATTCCGTTGTTCATAGAAATCTATTTTTAGAATGTCAGTTTTTCACTTGGCGGCACCCAAATAGGTTATCCAACTTTTTGTTACCAATTAAATTGTAAAATCCAGTGTAACATAAAAGTACATATGAAACTACCTTTTTTATGTCTTAATACAACTAATAACAATAGTTTTATAACTTTAATGATAATGATCTAAGATCAGAATTTGTAATCAATTTCTTCCAATCATGAACAGTATTTCTAAGCGTCTAGGGGTATCCGAAAAGTTGAAGCAACTAGTAAAAAAATAAAACTCGATTTAAGGATTTGATCTACTGTAATATCGGAGAGAACGTAATTTAGGTTAGATATTATTAAACAAGCCTACCGAATAATTGATTGTGAGGGCAATTTAATTGCAATTATTTAGAACCCAATTAATTGATGTCAATTAATTGAGATTTTGAGGTGATGAATTATTTGAATTTAATATTAACTAATACAATCAATTAGTAAATCCTTATTCGTCACACAATGATTCACCACATCGGACAATTAATTGCAATTTAATTGGTCACAATTATTTTCGTATAACGATTGTGATAAACGGTAAATGTAATAAAATTTAATTTTCGGTACTCCTGTTAACTAATTAGTTTTAATTCCGTACAGCGCACAGTATCATCTAACCGAACGCTTTTCCTGATAAAGTTCGCAATATAATGATATTAATTTGTCTGACTAATTATGCTAGTACGCAAGATAATAGCTTAGATAAGTCTCTTTAAACGTATAAATAAGGGTGCTTCCGTATCTTTGAGTTATTAAAAAAAACCGAAAATTCTTCATTTAATCTCATCAAACCATGAAGCCAATTAGTATATCTTTGATTTTTATGTTCATTTTCTGTTTACTTGGTATTTCTGAAAGTTCAGTAATTCCTAAAAATGAGGCAATAAAATTGGAAAAACGCCAATGTGCTTCAATGGTAATAAAAAAGTTCTTTATTTGATTAAGCACTTCAATTCTTCTGTACAAACGGCATCTAATCTATATATTCTTTTGTAAATTTAGCAAGCTTTCAAATGTTCTGATGGCGTCTGTTGCGATATAGTACAGTTCATTTTTAATAATGTATAAGTAAATTCTTTTTTTATATTTAATTAACAATTTTTCTCTTTTAGAATCATCAAAGATGTGCCAAAAACGGAGGTTGCTGCACCATTGGTACCGAGGGTTGTGACTAATTAAACAAAATATGACTATTAATAGCCAGAAGATAATAATGCTTTTGGTGTTATTTTTTTCTTGTTATTGTTTTCTTTCGTTTAACCTTTCTACTTTGATTCTTTTTATTTTATTGTTAATTTTTTCATATCTGTGTTCTTATATTTATAAATTAAGCGCATTTATCATATATTTATTTGATTTCATCTTCATATTGAATACGCTAAAGGTGTTCACAAATCCTTAATAAATGAGTCAAAAAGTGTTGATGAATAAATTTTACTTAACGGAATATATTTTAAGTGGTCAATCGTGTTTATCACTATAATAGATATATTAGTTATCATGTAAATCAAATATTTTTATTAATTGAATTTGTCATTTTAATTTGCAAACATTTACCGTTTTTTAATACCTGACTTGGAAAACTTTGTCATTAATTTTGCATTAAAAGAGTTCCTTTTCATGAATCCAATCTTGTTATTAACAAATTATTATTTTACTTCTTATGCTAAATGTTTTTATCGAAAAAAGTAGTGGAGTTCCAAAAAACAATTAAGGTTGCTTATTAACTTTTAACCTTTACTCATATAACAACAAATTAAATAATTTAGCCGATAATTTCTCATTTACAACCTAACACGAATCACAACTATTTTGGGTACGATCTTCGATGATCAAAAGGTATGTACAATTTTAGAAGCTTAATTTACAAATAAAGGGATTTACTTACGATACCACTACCCTTAACTTAAATAATATTATTTTATCAATCAGAAGGAAATATTTAACCTGACTAGTAGGATAGTAGACAATTAATTAAAGAATAAGATTTGCAGTAAGAATTGACATGACTACTAAATTATAACTCCATTTGAACACTTCTAGTACTTTGTTGTATGATTAAAAAAAACAAAAAAAAATTATATAAAATTTTGTATGATGGTTAAATATGAATTTTATATGTCTAAATTATTTATTGCATAAATATAAATAGTACAATAAACTCTCACTGGAGGTGAAATTCTCATGATATACACTATTTGTCTAAAACGACTTTAGTAATTGGTGTTTTAAAAATGTTCAACACTTTAGAAAAACAAAGTCCCAACCCCTAACCCTAATATGATAGTTATCCAAATCACGTAAAAAATCAACAAGTATACATTATTTGTTGTTTCACATCCAATAACTCTAATATTAATAATTTACTTTTGAAACCAATAGATCAATTCCAGGAATAGGTTTAATTATACCGACAAATTTTCTTTCGAAAGTAAAACCTTCAACTAATTTAAACTCAAAATTTCTAATAATCACAGCTAATATAGATTTGAATTCTGAATATGCCATTCTCATTCCCAAACAACTTCTTGGACCGGTATTAAAAGGTATGAAATTAGAATTGGTTATATTTGATTTTATTTCCGGATTGAGCCACCGAGATGGGTTAAAATGTTCAGCATCATCACCCCAAATTGAGGGATCATGATGGATTGCATAGATGGAGATTGCCAATGGTGTGTTCTAAAAAAAAAAATTTATAAAATTATATGACATATTATTTATCAAATAAATTGCACTATGGAAAATTATTTAAGAAAATACCTTTGGAATAAAGTAACCGTTAAATATTTCATCTTTTACATTTGTACGAAGAAGTGAAGTCACTTTTAATTTTGTAAATTAGAATTAGAATAAAGTAGACAATTAATAATTTCGAAATATAAAAGAGATATTAAACTATACCAGGCGGTGAGATTCTTAAAACTTCTTTAAAGACACATTCTAAAAATTTCAAGTGTTCAATTTGATCAAAAGTTGGGTGATAATCACGATCAGGAAATATATCAAGTATTTCTTTGCGAAGGCGATCTTGAATATCAGGATTTGCCGCGAGAAAGTATAATGCCCAAGATAATGTAACACTGGTGGTCTCATGTCCAGCTAAGAGTAATGTCATAACCTGAAATTTAATAGATTTAAATTTTAAGTAAATTTAATAAAATTATATATTTTATTTAATAAAATTATAAATTAATCCTTACCTGACTAACTAATTCTTTGTGAGTTAATTGTTCGTCAACAGGTAAGCTATCATTTGCATTTGCCAATAATGACATTAAATCTGTTCCTCGAACAGGATTATTTTTTTGTTCAGCAAGCAGTTTCTCAGAAACATTATAAATAGTTTTAAGATAATCATAATATTTATTGTTATCAGATGTTGGAAATTTTCTAATAAACGGAAGGAGGTCGGTAATAGCCATGTATAAAGGCGTTCTATTACGATAAGTTACGAAATTGTATGCTTTATATAATTCAGACTCTGTAGTTGTAGAATTAAAGTTGTAGTTAAACCCTATTTACAATAAATAATATGATTATGATTATAATTAGGAACATTATTAAAAAAAACTTAACATATATAATGCAAATATAAGATAATAAGATAAGATAATACTTACCAACATGACCAATGACATCCAAAGTTACCTTTGAAATTACATCTGTAATCGTAATTCTTTCCTCTTTCTTATTGCCAACTTTTTTCATCCAGACATCCTTTAAACTATGGCCGGCTTGAACGAATGTTGGAGTCATTTCCTTATAATTAAAAAAGTCAAATTTATTTATTTATATATAATTATACGGATTAATTTTTTAATAGATCATTAATGGTAAAAAAATACCTTGACATTGGCAAAAGCAAATGAAGGAGACATCATTTTTCTTTGTCGTTTATGATTATTTCCTTCAGCAAGTATAATACCTTCACCAATTAACTCTTTGACTACAGCTTTGTTAGAATCGAACCTCAGAAAATCATACGAACGACTCATCAATATCATTTGTACGAGTTTTGGATCGGTAATTAAGAGATAGGGCTTATTCAATATGATATGATATCTAACTATCCCACCATATTGTTTTGCTAAATAAGAAAAGGCTTTACCCTGATCTTTCTTTAATAAAGTGGAATAATGTCCAAGAATCATATTATCAATAGGTGGACCAGGAATTTTACGTAATGGAGACAAATATAAAGGATAAATATAACATTTATACAGAAAGTAGCTAACAAAAGCAAAAATTGCTGCTAAGTAGTAATACATTTTTGAATATTAGATGTTAAGTGAATGCAATATGGTAGTTTTTTTTTTTTGTTGCTTAGAAATTACTCACTCTCCCCATCATTTTATATTAAAATTCTTACGTTAACGACGTATTCATTTGCATATATTTTAAAGGTCGAATAATCCTTAGATCAATTTTATGCCGAGGTTATATAATTTTACCGGATTATCCTGAGATTAATTTGATCGCCAAGGGAAAACCTGTCAATTATATTTTTTGTTCGGTTTTTTTCCTAGAACGTCATCTCATAATCAGGTTTAATCAATTATATTTGTACAAATATAATTAAAAAGCTCGATGATAGATTCTTTCTAGGTAGCACACAAACTGAACACAAATATACAGTAATTGAAAGCCCAATGACAGATTTTCCCTTGGCAGCACTCAAATATTTAATTCCATACAAATAAAGAGATTTATTGAGTCACTTTTCCGTAATAGGGTTTCACGGCACCGAAAATTCCGGTGCCGTAAAACTCGCAATCCGTTTTTATCATTGCAGATAATATAAATCGGGATTTAAGTTTAAGCACGGAATTTATGTTTAAGCACGGAATTTATTATATCCGGATTTAAACTCGGATTTATTATATCATGTTTTATCACATGATATAGTATAAATCCGAATAAAATAAACACAGTATTTTTCAAAGTCGTGTAACGCAAATCATTTTGTCGTTATTTGGGACACAACCATATAGGATAACTTTCTTCTGATTGGTTAATCATTTAAAATTGTATTTATACAGTTTAAAGTACTTTTTAAGAATGTAACATTTCACAAGTAAAAAATAAAAATTAAACTCATCGCTATCTTCGAAGAAGTGCCAACAGTCACTATGTAAAATAATCACAAATAATCCCGCATATAGAGTACCTTACCTAGAAGGTGAAATTTCTACATAGTGTGAGATCCGAAAACGTGATCGATATCACGTGTCGTAAATCCCGAATGTCAGAAATGTAAGATATATCGGATATATTTGATATATCTGATATATCGCCTATATCGCATAAGTGTGATATATTAGATATATGCGATATATATGATAAATTAGATATATTCGATATACTAGACAAGCCCATAATGTAAATAGACAAGACAGTTTATTATAAATAAAGGGCAATTCGCCCAGGCAAAAGGAGAGCGATTCCAAGTTGCGAATATAAACTACCTACCCGACCCCTAATAACCGTGAAAGTGTTATCCTGTAAACACCAGTATTATCGTTAAAACCCAGTACTAACGCTACCCCCTCAAGAACAACCATACCCGGAATTGATCGCTCGCCATGGTCACGTGCCCGGTAAACCGAAACGAAAGAGAAGAGCTCCAACCCCGATTCGACGTAGTGAAATCCCAGTTGAGACAATAGAGAAGAAAAGAATTAGAACAAGAGTAGGTTGAAGGAAAGACTCAAGAGAAGAGACTAGTACTTACCTACAGACGATAATCCACTCGCCAAATCTAACACGCCTGTTTCGACTTAGCCGCCGTAGGTAACACGAGAGTTGGAATAGTTTAGTGACAGACTCGCCGAATTCCGAGACGACAGTAGGTTGTGACTATATAACTATATGTAATTACTGAATAGTTAACATTACAACCGTTTTTTTTTAGAAATAGATAAGCAATTTCCAAACCTGTTAAAGAGCTTTAAAGTATAAAGAATATACCAGGAACGGAGTTTGTACAACGTACAACGTAGAGTATGGTTTACAGGCATCTGAAATGATGTGTCTCTTTTTTATTCGATTGGTTGTTCTATTCTTGTGACTTTTTCTTGGGATTTTTAGATTTTTACCTATAAAGCTTTTTGTCAATTGACACATGATAAAAAAAAAAATGCGAATTATCCTTTCTAGATTATTAAATAATGTTAATTTATCCATTTATTATCTCAGCTTTTAACCTTGTCATACATTTATTAAATTATTCTTGATTTTACCCGTTTTTGTTCGCTGTTCTGACCATATCGTTATATCGTATGGAAGCAAAGTGGTTAGTACTGAGACGTCTGTATAATTTCATATATTTTTAAGTTAAATATGATGTTTAGTAACTTATACAAATGTTGTTTCAAAAAAAAGAGCCTCAGTCTTAATCCTATTGGATAAATTATAATAATTCTTAAATTAATTAGAATTGTAATAAGTTTATAAAGACTCAACTTTTATAAGAGACGCTTGAGGAATAATAAAAAAGCGCACTATGCAAATAAAGTATATATTTGAGTTAGGATTTAAGAGTGCATTTAGAGAGATTGCATAATTAGAGGCTCATTGTAATAAATATTTAGCTGTAATTAAATTTTACTCTAATCTATATTCTGTTAGAATATGTTACAGATTTTATTCATTCATTTTAGCTATTCTAAGTTTAATACTTCAAATATATATATTTTTCATATGTACACTTAAGAATTGAACCATTTATCACTTTACTGACCTATTTACTGTTATTGAATACTTGATTCTCTGTTTTTTACACTTACATTTAATCACAAATTACTGATAATCTTATTAATACTAGATCTATTAGCTTTCTTAAACATATTAAAAAACTTTATACAAAATTTCTTACTAATAGACTTAATAATATCTTTACCCAACATTTTATTTTAATTATTACAATTATATTGTTCTCCTTGGCAATAATACAGCAATTCCAATATATATTTTAAACAATACTATAGAAGATATTTTTTGTAACTTTAAACAATTCTGGTTACTATCATAAGACATAAGTAAGATCTATAACTCTGTCAACTCTAATTTTTTTAAAAATTTCTAATTATGATTACAAATATACTAATATCTTATCAAAATTCTAACTGATCTTTTTATTGACTGTTATAATCATATTATAATCAATCTTGAACTCACAAACTCTTATATAATTAAAAAATAATATTAATTAAGAAAAAACAATTATATTATTTTCTGAAGAATTTACTATAATCTTCTTATTAGTAAAATTATTAACTATTTTTATAGATATAACCTATATACCTTACAAAATTTAATTTTTCTTTATTTTAACTATAAAATTTACAAACCTTTTTTATATTTATACTAATATATATGAATGTTATTCTCTAGATAATACAATCTAAAAATAAACTTAAATAAATTACCAAAATAACAATATCTTTTATTGTATAGCAAACACAAATTAACCCAACCAAATTTATTCTGGTTTTTAACATATTATCTACTGCTGAACTTTTTTTTTTAATTTATTAATTAAATCTATTTCAGCTAACCAATCATTCAAATTTTTAAGTTATTGGTTTACACTTAATAGATCTATGTCCAAATAAAGCCAATTAATCTAAGTTATAACAACTCAACTAATCAATATTACTAGTATTAAAAAAATTACTAAAAAACAAATAACATATATTATTAATATAATAATTATATTAACTATTGAATATAAATTACATAACACCATTCTTTTATACTCTATATACAACAACATATTAGTCAAATATCTTAATATAGCTAAATATAAATTTAACTTATCTAAATTCTTTCCTAATAGCTTTATGCTCAATCTATATTTATACAATATCTGTAATATTTGGGACTTTTAATTGTAACATCATATTATTAATTTTCAATAACAAATTAATAATCTTAATATTCTTAGTTCAATAAATAAGGTTAGACTACAATAACTTCAAAATAATCTTTGGTCTATTACCAATATTCTTTAATACAACTAACTTATTATCAATGAATATAATAAATTTATTCTCAATTTTAAAATTATTTAATTGTTCTAATATTTTAATATTACAATCTTTGTCTATTATAATATATTATGACCAAATAGCATACACAATGCTTGTTAACTAATTGAACATATATCCAAAATATATAACTTATAAATATTCTATATTTAGAGCAACTATATACTACTAATAATAATATCTTATTTAAATGATAATATCTTTTATCAAGAATATATTAATTGATAAAAAAAAATAAGTTTTGTAGTTTATTTCTCTTAAAAATAAAATTATATAAGATAAATATCATAGAACTATCTTATTTCATTTCTAATCACTTAGTACTAACTCTTTTATATACAATATATATTCTATCATCAAAGAACAAAAAGCTTAACTTTTTATTTATTATTCTAATAATGAAGAAATTATTATTTGCAAAATTTATAAATATATTTCTGTCTCTAATTTATTTTTAATTACATATTGGAAATCTAATATTAATTTAGATTATAATTAATATTATCTATTTTTACCTATTGAATATAAACTATATACAGGATGCCACCTTAACTCAAATAGAATTAATCAAATATGTACTATTAATATATATGCAATTATCTCTTTAACATTTCTAACTAAAAAATTTTCTAACAACCTTAAACTTAATACTAATCATATTGATCTTATATACTCAATAGCTATTAAATACCCTTTACATATATCTCCTATATCTTCTAATATAATTATATACAATTCTAGTATTTTAAAAATTTTTAAATCAAATAGTTATAATTATAAGCTTCAAGATATATACTTATTTAACTTCACAAATAATAGTTTTATCTTTTATACTAATGGTTCTGTTATTAATATTGGATCAAAACAATGTTCAGTAAATATTGTATAAGTTCAAATTAATGAATACAATCAAATTAGTCATAAATTCTTAGTTCAAATCTATTTATAATCATTAGAAATATGTTTTTTTTAGTTTTGCATTGCATAATACAACATAATGCAGCATGTGATATTATGCAATCTTACATTTTGATAAAAAATTTTAATTTTTTCTATTAGTTCAATTTGCATATACAAGTATTATTATTAATTAAACAAGATATATTAATATTTGTTTAATAAGTTTTACAGCTTATATAAATAATAAAAAGATTTTATATTTAATTATAAAGCGTTATTACTATACTTAGTAATAGAATTATTAAATTATAATATTATAT